ATTCCGGAGCTTACTGGAATTTATCGAAATGAAATCAAACGTAAAAAGTGTTTCATGGGATGTAACTATGCACCATAACGGGCATATTGGAAGACAAGGGAACGATATTTTATCTGGCAATGCACAAAGCTGCTTGGTGTTTGATTTTCAAGAAAACCGGTTTGGCGGTCACACCAGTGCAGATACGGGTATGCACGGGATCAATCCGTTTGTTTAACTGCCAATATCAACTGTCGTTCGCTGAATTTACGACTTGAATCCGGGCCACCGTTCCTAGTCCTAGAACCGAACCGTTCCTAGAACCGGTGCGTGCATTCGACGTAAATGTGAAATCAACCATAGTAATCAACATTGTCGGCGTGGAGAAGGATTGGTCGTTGCCAATTCGTTTTCAATTACGAATGCGATAAAGCTAGCACTTATATAAGCATCGCTAGCCTCAATTCCTGCTAGTGGCAGTGAACTGCCGTCTGACGTTTGTTTTGACAGTTCGTCTGCCATTGAACTCGACTTACGGCAGGGTCTCACGTCTGCTCCTTGTTTGTCTTGCCGTGTGCGTGACACGCAGAGAACTCAACGCATAAGGTCCGCTTTCTGCCCGTCAGCGACGTGTTTTTCCACCCGCATACCTAGCAGTCTATTGCACAACCTCGCCCGCGTTCCTGTAAATAGTCCAGCAGTCAGTGTCCGTGGAGGGACATTTGGGCCACGTGCCGCGCCAGTCGATCTTTTATGGGGGTGAAAGGACGCCGCCGGGAGGGAGGGAGGGGGTGGGGGTGGGGGCTTTCCACACTGACGCGTGCCGTTCAGCACGGCGGTGTTTCACGGATCCCGACCGTGAACGGCGATCATGGCATTTCGCGAAGCGTGCTGACGGTAGCTGTGGTGTTGAACGGGTCAGCCTCAAGTCAAGCCGACGTAGCCCGCTTGTGGATCGGGAGGAGACGGCGCTCACAGTCCCGAACCCTGCCGTGCGTGCGCCAGTGTCGTCCGTTGGCCAGACGCTCGTGATGCTCCTGACAGGCTTGGCATGCGCTGTTTATTGGGTGTCGACGGGTGAAGTGAATATTTCAACAGAACCGCTCAGCTTGATCTAACGGCCAAAGCCCCTTTGGGATGTTCCGTTTTTGGAAGCGTCGGAATGCGATGCAGGTCATTTGGGCGACCAAGCGTCTTGTGGATTACAATGACAAAGGTTCAAGCGAGCGGTGACGACAGAGAACCTAGAGGCGGTTATTCGGGAGGGTAGATTTAATCGGAAACGCAAACATTCCTTATAAGCTTATTCGTATTCATTCGACGGAAGTCCCCTCCCCCAAGAACGGTTAACCTCAAATCTTGCAGCGTGAACAAGGGCGAGGCGAAAATATTTTTCCACTCAGGTGAAAGCACACTTCAATGAAAATCACAGCAAAATGTCGCACGCACCCATGAGGAGCCACGCAACGATTTAAGACTCAACTGAGGTCGACTAAGTATTGCGATGGGTGACACCCTTGAGCACAGGGCCAGAAGGATGCAATTTCTGTAGATTTGTATGGAGCTCCCCGCCCAGCTGTCTCACTGCGTCTTGGCTGCTTCACAAGACATTACGTGGCCTTGGGAGGACGAAGCAAAAATATATTTCGACTCAAATGCGAGAACGATCCAATGGACTTCGGTCCTCGGAGTGTGCGAGAACGATCCAATGGACTCCGGTCCTCGGAATGTGCGAGGACGACCCAATGGACTCCAGTCCTCGGAATGGGGAGATGAGCTGAACAGACGTCTGATGCAGTATGCCATCCTGTCCTTCCTGGCGTGTTGTGTTGAATACACTAAGTGGTCCTGGGACACGTTTCGTGGCTAATCAAGTTTCTGCGTTAAGTACGTTTAAGTGCGTCAACTTATTTGTTGCTTGCATGTGTGTTTTCAGCCCATGTCTGTAGTGCGATAGAGGGATGAAAGCCTTCAGGGTGTTCTTATCAAAACCGCGCCGATGTCTCCCATGGCCATGCGTTGTTTCTGAGTTACAGGCGAGTCTGTGCACTATTTTATGAGGCCAGAACGTGCCAGACGACCGAAAGCAGGTGCGTGCTGACCGTCAGAACAAATCGATGCAGTCGCATGCCGGCGACGGTACCAGCGCCGGAAATTATCGAACAGCAGTCCAAAACGTCTTGCCGTCTGCAGAAGTCAACGCCAAGCTCCAGGGCAGTCTTCGTCGTTTTGAGCACGTCGTAACTTGTAACTTGGAGCCAATGTTCTACTTGTAACGTTACGGCGTCACGAGTAGCCCGGCGTTCTCTTGGTGTCTTGGAAGTTGAACGTCTGGTAGTGTAGCATGTTTTATGTTGTATGAACTGCATTGCGTCGGCAACGTATTTCTCGCGTGGCCATTTCATTCACAAAACCAAATGCAACCGCGTGCTGTGAACGTTCATATCGTTCCTTTGCAGCACACCTTCCTTGATTACTTGGGTACCGCCGGGCATCCCAGGTATCCACAAATACGAAACAGAGTATGGAAAGATAACTGTCGATCTGAGCCAAACTTTCCCGGCATTCCAGAGTAGCTTGGAACGATGGAATATTTTCCCACGTGGTGCCTTCCAAAAATTGGACCATGAGACAGCTAAAATGCGGACCATATATCATTATTATTTCAAATTCGGCCTATCATCGCCATCAAGCATCCAGGGACCCTCAAACACGTGGGAACCCATTCCAGCCAGCACAAGGCTGAAACAGTGCCTCTTTGTGGTATCCTGTTTACGGCCACAACCAGAGTTTGCGGTAGACGCTCGGACCGAATCACAAATCCAGTCAGCATATGTAGGTGTTGCATGATGAAGCCCGTTCATTGCACATGCCGCATGTGAAATGCACATGATAAAGATAGTGACCGCTGTGATTACGCATACCCGACTTTAACAGAATGGACAGTGTTGTTGATGTCACTGGGCTTTGCGACGCACCCCACTGGCACCGCCGGCCTCTCACCCCTGCAGGAAGGGCGGGTACAGCGGGGAATCAAACCCTGCGCTTCTGGTTTCCCAGACGCGCAGCTTGAGCCATTGCACTACGGGTACCTTAAGTCATCGGCTCTAACTTAAACCCAGGTGTAATGTTTTCGACCTCGGTGCTGAGCAGTGGTGTCTGGTTTTGGTCCAATATGAACTAGAGTATAACAAAATGGGTCTGTTCTGAAGGGAGCATGTACTTCTCCGAAGGGCCTTATCGTTCTCAGTTTAAAAGTCGCTACCGCAATCCTTACACAAGCATGACATATCACATACATTTTTCTAAATTTTAAGCAACTTTGAGCGCGATCCCTCCCCTCTCGGTTCTTTTAACTCTGCCTGACGGCTGTGAAGATCTTTGCCAGTTCGGTCCTGGACCCTTGGCTTTTGCGCAATTATAGGCTGGCCGGATACAGAATCATCAAGAAATTGCGGACACACCCTGAATTCAATCCAACGCTTTGCATGTATCACCACGTCGTTCGTCTTCAACTTTCACACCAGTTGAGAGAACCAGTGACAAATGCCCCGCTCTCTGATCCTATACCATGGACGATGGGACCTCCAAAGCAGAAACACTCGACTTGACCTGACTTGACTTGGCGATTCGAAGACGCGTGCTCAGGAACCAATTAAGAGCGCCCCTTGAGCGGAAGGGACGCGTTGCAAGCTCCCACCCGAGCGCACTCCGACGAGGCGTCTCTAACGAGGCCGAGCGCACTCCGACGAGGCGTCTCTAACGAGGCCGAGCGCACTCCGACGAGGCGTTCCTAACGAGGCCGAGCGCACTCCGACGAGGTGTCTCTAACGAGGCCGCACTCCGACGAGACGTCTCTAACGAGGCCGCACTCCGACGAGGAGTCTCTAACGAGGCCGCACTCCGACGAGGTGTCTCTAACGAGGCCGAGCGCACTCCGACGAGGTGTCTCTAACGAGGCACCCTGCCGCCGGCGCCCGTCTCTGACCCGCAGTCAGCTGATGTTTTATGCAGGGGTCAGAGGTCGACGGACACGGGGCCAGACAGGTGACCGCGGTCGGTGGCGACGGATGGCCACAGGTCACGCACGGGGGATGTTAACACGGCTAATGCGTACAGTTGAACGAGGCTGGTGTGCGACTGTCGCAGGCGGCGATTTCATGGCGCTCGCTGGAAATTGTCTCCCTTGTTGGGACGTGGTGTTTGAACCCGTGCTCCACTATTCGATTGGAAAATTTCAACTCAACAGAGAACATTCTAGTGAAATTCTAACGTACCACAATGGTCGGTACGGTCCGTCCTGCCCTCTCACACATCACCTGATCTTTAATGCGAACGCTACCACTGGCGGCAGGCTATCCCAGCCAAGGGCAAATAGCGAACGCTGAGAGTGACTCGAACCCACCCCACTACGCATGGTGGGGCCTAACCAACTGAGCTATCGAAACGAGCAGTCCCGCGGGGGGAATCTAGCAATGGCTAAAATACATCCAGCATGTATCGTGATCATTGACTCTAATGAAGGGTGAACGGCGCTGTGGCTTTTTATGTGATGTCGTTGACCATACCGTCTTCTACCAAAAGCCGTTTTGGTCTGAACGCAGTGCAGCCAAGAAAGGCACAATCCTTGAAATCAAATTTAATGTCCATGCTAAAGCACTAGCCCGGTGATCGCGCTGCAGTCCTGAAAACGGTGGGTGCACTCATCAATTGCTGTGCAGCCCATTCTCCGATAATTATCCAATTAAATGGAAAGCCTCTAGACAGTGTAGTTCACGCCGGCAAACGGCCAACCGTCGTTGACCAGCGTAAGCAGAACGACCTTTCGCCGTGGTGAATGGCACGATGGCGGCCCTCAGATGGCAAAGCCGACGGGTCACACAAAGCGGAACAAACACACCACCGAACGTGCCCATTCCAGGCCATTACCACCAATAGCTGGCCGGTCGTCTGTTTGGCGATATCGTGACAGCGGGTCGATCCCAGCTCACCTCAAATACACGGACACGGACGGCTAACAG